GTGGCACAATGTGTTAAAGCCCAGCACTATGAAGTTATCTATAGCCACTGCAGCATGAGTTCAATCCCTGGCCAAGGAGGTGACCCACATGGCACAGCAAACCTCTCCTGACCCGCCCGCTGCTCCCCTCAGCAGTGTATTTCAGTCCATCTGCCTGTTCTGCTCCCCATTCTGCTCTGGTGAATCCTCTTACCTCCAGCACCTCAGGCCTATAACCTAGTTCTTGTATGCATAAATAAATAAATCTTTAAAGAAAAAAAAAACTCGATAGTGATGGGAAGCCCACAGGATTGCAACTGAGATGGAAAAATGTGCAAAATGATGTAAAAGTAAACTATTATATTATTTAAAAAAAAAAAAACTCAATAGTCGTAAAGAAAAAAACCACTAAAAAATCAAAACTACAGTTGTGGAAAGGGAAGGAAAAGGTGAAATATTGGGGAAGGAGAGAGTGTACAGTCTGTACTAGAGAACTATGTGTATTTCAGTGATTGAGGAGGTATGAACCTGTATTTCTAAATTAGATGCAATATTGTAAAGCAATGTTACTTCAATTAATTAATTAGTTTACAATAATAATACAAATAAAAAGGAGACAAGGAAGAAAGAAACAATTAGGTAGATGTCATGCCGCTGATAAATCCTTATTCTGAGCTAGGTTTCACAGGCAATGTCTAGTCTATGATGCTTCCTAGGTAAACGTGTATACATATATACAAACATTCTTTTTATATCCAATGAACTGATAAAATAATGCAGAAAAGTCTTAAAAGTAAATGGGGAACTAGGAACAAACAAATACAGATGATTGGTTCTGTAAGTAGAAAGACCTGAACAGCTGGAGGGGAGATGTCTTCAGAGAGTAGTAAGCTAAAGCAGAGGAAAGGCATGAGGAGAGGCTTCAACATGGGTAGAGTACATGCTAGCCATCAAAGGCAGAAGAAATGACATTCAAAAGAATGAGAGATAAGGAAGTAAAAATTGGTTGCAGATCTAAATAAAATTTCTATTTGAAGTGCATAGAGGCCAGCAGAAAGTTGAGGAAAATCAAACCCAATAGTATCAATTGTCTTGAGGTAAGAAATGAGATCACTTGTTGAAAACAAGGAAAGATACGAACTGGGCAGAGGAAAGACTGAGTGCAAGTGGTAAAGACTTGTTAAGAGTCACACAAAGTTGACGGAGAACTAGTGAAAGCCCTCTGCAGGCACAATAGAAATTAGAAAGAAGAAAGTGCGTGCAGCACCAACCAGGCAGTTCCTGAGTCTCCACAGCAAGTCTGTCCCTGCTGCAGAGCAGAGGGAGGCAGTTTGCAGCAGTGACAGTGGGACCATAGGATGCACAGGTATCTGTGTGGCAGAGAAAGGATACTGTCAGAAAGAGACAGAAAGGAGAAAGACAGAAGGAAGTGTGTCAGGATAGGAAGGGGGGGCACAGATGCAGAGTTAATAACAACAATAATAACAGACTCACAATGACCAACTTTTAAAGCTGTTAAAGTACATCTATGGTATAAGTATGACTTTATTTAGAAAAAGGAAAAAAAATGCAGAAACAAGAAACTGGAATTAAATAAGCCAAGGATATCCATATTGATGAACTCTGAGTTGTGAGAATATGTTTTATTTCTAAAATGAGTAACAAGATGGAGCAAAAGCAAACAGTGAAGGAAAGTAAATATGCTAATAACTTTCATACTAATGGTTGAGAAATAACAAGACAATTTTCCACTCTGGGCTTCCTTTTCCAAACTTTTGTTATTAAGTTAAATTACACTGTGTGTGCCTGATTGTGTGTACATATATTTAAATGTTTCCAATGCCTAATACAGAATGATTTTTAGTGTCTGCAGGAACTGAGACTCCCACAAAACTGTTACATTCAGAAACCACAGATTTCACAAGTCTTTAAAGTCCTATTTGCTATGTTACATCACAATAAAAAGTCACTCTCCGCTAAGCCTCTAGTTTATCTCTTCAACCTTTGATCAGCTCAGATTTTCTCCTTTAACTTAGTGTTTTTTAAGTCTGAACAACAGAAAAAAAATGTATGGACATTACAAAATTTCAATTGGCTCCCAATCTTATAAAAATAACCACACACACTTGAACATGGATAGTTCCTCCGTATCTATGCTGTGTTATCTGTGAACAGTACTCCCATCACTAGGCCATTTCCATCCCTGCAATGTGTCAGATAAAAGAAGCAGTTAAAACCCAGTTCTGTCGCCTCCCCTCCAGTTTTCTATCCAGCCGCTCATTTACCAATAATGCTCTGTGTTGGCACTGTAGGCCTCTGACACTCTAGGCACCTGGAAGTCTCCAGAGACAACGCAGGCTCTGGTGACCTATTACTGTCTACTGAGAAGACAGCTTCCACAGGGAAGTAGGCACCTCTGCCCTGGCCCCATGGCTGCCAGCCCAAGAACACAGTGGCTGACCTCTACTTATCTTTGACTCTCTGTGTGGCACAGCACTAGCAAAATGGCAGGTGCTCCATATTGTTTGTGAACTGAAGGCCAAATGACGCAGACCCTTAATCGCCTCCCTTTCAGGGTTACTGTTCCCCAGAGAGGCATCAAAAGAGAAAAGAAGGCAGGGGATCATATTGAAATTCACTGAGAACGACTGTGGTGCATGCAGCCTCCATGTAGCAGTCTCATCTTTATTTAGAATCAAATACAAAGGTGGGGTGAGCACTGAGGGAAGACTTAGGGTGCACTGAGGGGATACCTAGGGTAGAGTGACTCAAGGCTATTGCCTGGGAAGATCCAATAAGTCTATTAGTCAAAGAATATTATCTCTATTCTCTATTCTCTTCCCTCTGCTCTAGCCACTCTCAGCTCTCATACTGTCTTCAAACATGAAAGTTACTCTTGGCTTCAGCTGTTGATGCCTTCAGTTCCTCAACCTTTTTTTTTTTTTTTAATATTTATCTTCTTTTTTTAGACTTACTTATTTATGCATGCAAAAGCTGGGATGCAGGCCAGAAGTACAGGGGTTGAGAGGATTCACCAGCGACAGAGTGGAAACCAAAACAAGCAGGCTGAAATTCACTGCTGAGGGGAGCAGTGGGAGAGATAGGAGTGGTCTGCTGCCATGTGGGTCAGCTCCCTGGCTGGAGTTGATCTCCAGATAGCTTCATAGTGCTGAGACGCTTGCACCAAAGTTGAGGCTGGTTCCTCAACCTTTAATACTTCTCCCAAATCTGATCATTTAAATACCTACTCAAATGCCATTTCCTCAGGTAAGTATCCCCCGAGCATCTCCTTAAAAGGGTGCCTACCCTCCCACCCTCAACGTTTCACTACCAGGACATAAGTTCCTTGAGCGTAGGGCCTGGCACATAAGATACTAAAAAAAAAATATTTGTGGAATACATGATGCTAACAAGAAAATCATAACTACCTCAAAGGGTTCTGTGAATATTAAATGAGAGATCATACACAGGAATAAAAAGTGCTTATCACAGCAGCTAGCATACAGTAAGCTTAATAATATTAGTTAATGACTTATCATGAAATCCAGGAGAGGGTGTGGTCAACATAAACAGAGGCAGTTACATAAAGTTTCAAAGAGAAGGCAGGTCTTGAGCTTGTTCTGGAAGGGTAGAGGGGTCATGGTCGGGGTGGGAAGTCACTCTTCTGCCATGTACTCCACTCCACACTCCTCCTAAATGCAGTCATCAAGCTAAAATTCTTCCACTGATCATCCTCTTTGTCCATTCATTAATACACTTATCTTTCATTTCTATACCACCAGAGTCTAGACAAAAGGGCACTTAATAATGTTAACTTTTCAAAAATCTATTAAAGGCACAGCCTGCTCCAGCAATCCAGACCTTGGTGGTCAACCTAAGAAAAATACTCAAATGTCAGTAGTCAGCATACAAATCACATACAGGGTTCTCCCTGGTGGCGCAAGGGGTTAAAGTGCAACAGTATAAAGTTACCACCAGCCACTGCAGCAGGAGTTCATGTGTGCTCTCTGTGGCCAGGGAGCTGATCCACGTGGTGCAGCCTACAGCTTCCCTTGTCTGTGTCTTTCAGTCAACCTGCCTGTTCTGCTCTCTACTCTGTATCTGGTGAACCCTCTCACCTCTTCCCCACCTCTGGCCTGTACCCCAGTTCATGTATGGATAAATAAATAAATCATTTTTAAAAACCATATACAATGACGTTGACTACAACATAACTTGGGGGGGTAAAATTAAAAACAACAGGAATGTTCACCCACCCACAGAAATAATGACATATACTAATGTCAAATAATCCCCAAGCTATGTTTAAATTGAAAAGGAAAAAGCTGGAAAATACATACTATGTGATATTATTTGTGTAAAAACCGACAAAAATTTTAAAGCCACATATATATAAAACTTAAAACTTTCTCTGGAGATACATACATCTTGTTAAACAGTATTTTTAGCTTTTCAACACGGTACCTCAAAGAAGTCAGTTTCCAGTCAATATTTGCTGGAAGCATAAAGACTTATGTACACGAATAGAAAGGGATTAGAAAATAAATCTGCTTTCATGCTCAATACTTCTGAACTTTTTGCTTGAAGAGACTGGCATTAACATGTTACTTGTCTAATTAAGGTGAATTCAAATAGTCCTTTAGAAAAAAAGTTACATGACTCCGATAGACCACAACGAGTGAATAAATTCTCCAAGTCACTAATTTAATCATCTTGAGCAATTGGTATCTCACACAGCAACTCAAACCCTCACTTTAGCTCTCCACCAGGCTTCAGTCCCTTTAAGAGCATAAAGATTAACAGGAAAGAGCCAGTTTAATTGTTGCTGAGAACCAGCAAATGGAAAGCCCTTTCTAAAGGGCGCACTTCTTAAAACCGCGGCTCCCCGGGAGGCGGGGCTCTAGCGCTCGGCCCTCCGCTCCGCACCTTCAGGAGCCGAGGGCTACAGGTGAGTGTGGGAAATCCAGAAAGGTGCACGCACTGAGCGCCGGGAGGTAGTGTGTAGTGGGCAGAAAACTTACTCTCCGACTGGCCCCTTCTCTTGCTGATATATGTCTCTCTTGCTCAGGCATCATCCCCCGGAGAACCACTTTCTTCTACGGTCCGACCCAGAGGCCAACGATCACCTAGATAGTGGACAAAAACGGAATTAAAACCCAGGGAGAATAACAGGGAGTGAATGGCCACCTTTCCCGCTCGCCGCTAACCCAAGGATAGGGTCTCAAAACCGGACCCCTCATTTCCAACGCCGGGATCTGCAGCGCTCACCCCCAGGGGTTCATTCAAAGTTGCGCGCCACCAAGCGCCTGCCCCTTAGGGTTCGCGGGAATGGGAGCAAGACAGGAGACTGGGCCTCGGACTTCACCCATACCGGGAAGCGGGCCTCAGGGTGCCTCAGTATCCTCTGCCGAGCTGGGAACCTAGGTGAGCGCCCACCCTCTCTCCCTCCCTCCCTCCCAGGGTCTCGGCTACCTCCGACCAGTGTGCTGTGAATGGGATTCTCAGCCTCCAGCGAGTGCCCAGGAGGAGCTGCGCAGACGGAAGTCCGAGGTGCTGGTCCCAGGGCTCGCCCACCGCCGGCGTCGGGTCCGCTCTGCGCAACTGCCTCTGGAACTCCGTGCTAGTCTCCGGGATGCTGTGGGTCCCAAACGCCGCAGCCTGGGCGGGACTGAACTCCGCCTCGGGAAAATCGACCCCCGACTTGCAGTAGCCTCCCATTGGTCTCCAGCCCGCGGCGGGCTCTAGGCAAAAGTAGGAAGGGCACCAAAGGGGGCTAACGGCGGGAGGGAAGCCATGGGCGGGAGTGCCAGCTGTCCATCACAGGCCACGCCCTCCCCAGCTCTCATCTCACTACGACCCGCCCAGAGGGGCGGAACCTTTGGAGCCACGCCAGAAAAAAAAGGAAGCTTGTCGGGAAATATTATTGGCTAACAGGCCGTGGGAAGACTCTATCATAAACCAATTGGAACGCAGAACTGGTCCCTTGAGGGCGGGGGGAAGAACGCACGCTTTCTCTGTAGCCAATAGAGAACAGGAACCTGAAAGCGCTTCCTGGGTTCGGGGTCGGAGGAAGATGGCGGCCGCCGGAGGGGGCTGGTGCTTGTGCGAGTTTTTGAGGTGAGTGCCATGTGGGTTCGCATGCATTTTGTGTTTCGCTGGGGGACATGTGTGACCAGTGCAACAAAAGTCCTCAGAAAAGGGTTTTCCTTCACACGAACCTCGGCTATTTTCTCAAAGCTATGAGTGCTTTTCCTCTTCGTTTTGGGGTCTTCTGAGTAGAATCCACCTGTGTTAAAAAGAGTGTTTACGGCATTTATTGCGCACCCCCATCCCACACCACCACTGACTGAGGGGTCGCGTTTCCAGGCTTGTTTTCTCTCGTTGGACCTTCGCTTAATCTGCCACAGTTTTCTCATAGTCATTCCTTATGTCCACTCATTTCATTTTATAGTTGAACCACCACAATCTATCATGCTTTCTTTTTGGTTAAAAAATAAATCAAAATAAAAGCCGATCTCTCTTCTCCGGTCCTTAGTTAACTATTATTGTTAACATATGTCACTTAGATATAAAGTGTTGAATCCTCTGCTTCTTGATCTATTGATATTTTTCAGATTCACAGAAGTTATAAAACGATATACTTGCATCAAATACGTTTATGTAATAAATTTTTGCATTAAACCAGCAGCTATTTATTGGATGCCTTCTTTGTGCCACGTATTAGGCTAGGCACTGGAATAAAGTGGTAAACAAATTTTAAGACTTGCTTTTGCCGTCTTCAGTCGATCTGATAGTAAATTTCCAGGCTACTGAATCTTTTCCTCTTTGTTACTAATATATAAAGTGGGTATGTAGAAGTATATTTTAATTTGTGGTCTTATTTTTGTTTAAGAACTGTATCAGTTTTACCTTTCCCTCTTGTTTCAGGTTTTTTTATTCTTTACTCTTCCCTGGGCTAATTGTATGTGCAACTTTATGTGTATGTTTGATCATTATCCTTTGGAGAATAAAACTGCTGCTTCAGAGAAAGAAACAATCAGCATCAGTTAGCAAAAATGGTAAAGAGCAAATGGTGATTGCATTTTTTCATCCATACTGCAATGCTGGTGGAGGAGGAGAAAGAGTTTTATGGTGTGCTTTAAGGGCCCTGCAGAAAAAGTAGGTATGAGTCTTTCTTAGTTAATTTGCTATATTGTCTTTCTTAGCTAATTTGCTATATTGTTACCATTTTTTAAGTCCTAACTCAGAAGTCTTCTTTTTCTAGGGCCTAGTTCATAGCCTGTAATTCCTTGTTTAACTATTCTTCAATAAGAAAATACTTCTCTCATATGCCTAAGGGATTCTGTTGATTTTTAATTAATACGATAAAGAAATAAAGAGGAAAGTATCTGCCCTTTTATGACATAATTTAGTGGAAATAACTAATCACGTTGACAGATTGAAGAAGAGCCTGAGTAATAAAACTGAAATATACCAACCTCTGTGGCACACTTTTTTTTTTTTTAAATAATACCATCGTTTATTTTTGCATCATTTTGTGCCTTTTTCCATCTCAGTTGTAATCCCCATCGGCTTCCCATCACCAAATGACCTGTGGTGGCACATTTTTTAATTAGTGGTAGCACACAGGAAGTAATCTCTATAAAGCATCTATTTGATTCTGATTTTGTTATTATGACCAGTTTAGTAGTGTTAGATAAGTTACCATGTTACACATCATTTAATGTTTTAGATTTCCTTCTCCCCAACCTGTCTCAAAAATATTTATGATTCCATTTTAGAACACATGGTAAAATACAGGTTCTATTAAAATATTTTATCAAGTAACAAAAATTTCTGTCATTTCTTGGTTACCCTACTTCCAGGCACACACCATTCAGTTCTGTAGACTTTACACATAATTCCCTTAGATCTAAAGTTCTATATTCTTGGCCCATCTGACTTCCCGCCAGCAACCGTGTTTTTCCTTTGCCATGTTCTGTACCTACCTCAAACCCAAAGAGTTTTCTTAAATCCCAATTTAATTTTTCCTCCTTGAAGGCCTTCTGATTCCAAATCATACTGTTCTTCCCAAACTGTTAGCTTTGTCTTCCTAATTAGGTTATTGAGAGCCTTGGCAGATTTTCGTGATTCTGTACACATACTCCTCAGCAATCCCTATTACTGCTAACTAGACTATAAGGAGAAAGTCCAAATCACTAGTATGACACAAAAAAGTACTTTTCACCTTGCTCTTATCTTTTGTTTTTCATTCATTCCCTCCCCCTTCCTTCACATACATTTTATTCCATTATATATTGAATTGGAAATAGCATGCTCTCTAAATTCCTTGCCTTTCATGTAGTGTTCTATTTTTCCTGAAGTAATCTTTTTTACCTCTGTTACTTCCTACAAGACTTTCTGGACTCAAGACTTTCTGGACTCAACATAAACTGCAGTACACTTTCATTCAACCTAACAGTATTTACTGGGAACCTACTAAGTATCAAGCACTGACATGGGGAGTTGAGATTAAACAATGAACAAGATAAATGGTCCCACAGGGGCCAATTTACAAGATACAAGATTTGGGCCAAAAAACAAGATAAGAATCAAAGAAGAAAATATCAAGCTATAAGAAGTTTTATATAAGAGATTAAAGTCAGATAATATGAGTGACTCGGTACTTTAGATTGAATAATTAAGAAAAATCTCTGAGGAAATAATGCTTAACTAAAACATGAATAACAAAAAATAGCTTTTACAATATGCCAAGTGTTGTTTGAAGTATTTTACATGTGTTAGCTTAATCTTTTTAATACTTTTATGAGGTTGTTACAATTATCCTCATTTGACGAACAAGGAAATTAAAGCCCACTTTCTAAAATACATGCTATCCTGACTGCTTTATGAAACTGCAGTGTAGATGAGAAAAGAAAATTCAGAACAGAAAGAACAATTAGTGCACATTCCCTAAGATGGGGAGGATGGCTTGTTCAAAGAAAGGAATGCAAGTCTGACTGAGCAAATGAGAGTGGAAGGGGAGGGGAAGTTACAGAGAAAGGCAGAGCCCAGATTACATAGAACTTGAGTGAGCAGGGGCTGTAGCAAACCAGATGAGCATTTGAAACTGAGGAGTGATATTCTATTAAAATATTATTGCATGACAAACCCCTTCAAAATTTAATGACTTGAAATTTTATGTATTGCTTTTAATTTTTTGTTTTTTATTTTAAGTTAGTGGGGATTGATGTGCCCCATTTGAAATCTTTCGTACTCCAACCATTCCAGTTAACTGGTCGCTGGGATTGGAGTTATCTGAAACTTTCTTCACTTCTGTATCTAGTTCCTGGGCTGGGATGACTAGGAGAGCTGGGGACTAATCAGATATCTTTGTCAGCAACAGTCTGTCAGTGACTAGCTTGGGCTTGCACAAAACATGGCAGTCTTAGGACAATCAATTTTGACAGCAGTCTCTCCCTAGAGTGAAGTAGAAGCTGTTCATCTCTTAGAGCCTAGTCTAGAAACTAGCATAATGTCACTCTTGCCCATTGTTGTCCAGTGGTGGGGACTCATTTCATCAATGGGAAAAGTCAAATTTGTGCAATGATAGTCCTTTTTACTTTGTTTTTTTTTTTTTAGGTATAACTAACATATTTTATTCATTCCAGGCATGGAACATAATGAGTTGTATGAGTTTTTTATATAATTTGGATATTAATCCATTATCAGACAAATAATTTGCAAATATTTTCTCCTGTTCTGTTCTCCCTTTTCATTTGTTGATGGTTTCCCATATTGTAGAAACTTTATAGTTTGATATAGTCCCACTTTGATTTTGCTTTTGTTGCCTTTGCTTTTGGTATCAGATTCAAAAACATAATTGCCAAGATTGGTATCAAGGAGCTCACCACCTATGTTTATCTTCTACTCTCTACATTTTAAGAGGATCTTTATCTTTTCTCCACTATACTGTGCTTCTTGAAAACAAAGCCTGTCTTCATTCTGAATCCCCAGAATCTAGTGACTTATAGTAGTTATTTAATGTTTTGTAACTCAAAGAATAATTATAAACATAATCACAGGGAGTCCAAAAAATTAAAAGGCCTAAGAGCATACTTACACAAATTTCTGTTATAATAATAACATATCTAATTGTGATGTAGGCACAAGGTCTAGTTTTAAATCCTTTTGCATTTCTCAAGATAAAAAGACTAAGTAATGTTTTAGTACTGGTCATCCTTTCTAAAGATAACAGTAGTGAGTTTTTAACTCCTCTTTACCATTGAGAAAGTAAAATAATTTCACATCTTAAAAATTGTAAACATCTTATAAGTCAGTAATCTTTGTTACTAAGGAAATTGCAAAGAACTAGAAGTCTCATGTGAAGGCTAACATTTAGTCATCGGGCAGTGGAAAACTCAGGAAAATGTAGGACCAGTATTCCAAATGCACTAATAAAAGAATGAAAAATATTTATTAACATAAGCCGCTTTATGATTGTGAGAAAAGAATTGTCTACAACTTTTTGCTTGATTTGATCCCTAACCAAGTGAAATTCTAACTGTTCTGTTCTCCTTTAGATATCCGGAAGCCATTTACGTTGTCTATACTGGTGATACTAATGTCAGTGGCCCACAGATACTGGAAAGTGCAGTCAGAAGATTTAACATCAGATTGACTCACCCAGTGAAGTTTGTTTTCTTAAGAAAACGCTACCTTGTGGAAGATTCACTCTATCCACACTTCACACTGCTGGGCCAAAGTCTAGGATCCATTTTTCTTGGCTGGGAAGCTCTGATGCAGTGTGTTCCTGATGTGTACATCGATTCAATGGGCTATGCTTTCACACTTCCTCTGTTTAAGTATTTAGGGGGTTGCCATGTGGGAAGCTATGTTCATTACCCCACCATCAGCACTGACATGCTCTCTGTAGTGAAGAATCAAAATGTTGGATTTAATAATGCAGCCTTCATTACTAAGAATCCTTTGCTCAGCAAACTGAAGCTCATCTATTACTATCTATTTGCTTTTATTTATGGACTGGTTGGTTCTTGCAGTGATGTAGTCATGGTCAATTCTTCCTGGACACTGAACCATATTCTTTCATTGTGGAAGGTTGGGAATTGCACTAATATTGTTTATCCACCTTGTGATGTGCAGACATTTCTGGACATTCCCTTATGTGAGAAAAAGATGACCCCGGGACATTCACTGGTTTCTGTTGGCCAGTTTAGGCCTGAGAAGAATCATCCTTTACAGATCAAAGCCTTCGCCAAATTGCTGAAAAACAGGGCAGCTGAGACTCTTCCTTCACTTAAACTTGTCCTCATTGGAGGTTGCCGTAACGAAGATGATGAACTTAGGGTAAACCAACTTAGAAAGCTTTCTGAGGACCTAGGAGTTGAAGAATATGTGGATTTTAAAATAAACATTCCATTCGACGAATTAAAGAAGTACTTAGCTGAAGCAACAATTGGCCTGCATACTATGTGGAATGAGCATTTTGGGATTGGTGAGTTATCCATTAGGCAACTTGTTTGATGCCATAAGATAGATGTTTTTTTAAGTTGTTTTGATAAAGTTTTCAAAACATTCACTTCTAGAAATTTTCATTCATCCCTAGTTCTCTTTCCTTGATCCATCAATTGTTCTTTCCTCTTGAGATCTTATAAGACATAAAAATACAGAGTCAGGAGTAATTGCTACTAGCTATTGGTTTCTCACTGTGTTGGGGTCACTTCACTGTCTTTGTAAGTATTACCAGATTGTTTCTCTCTCAAACTCTGCATGATAGGTATGATATTTTCACTTTATCAGTAAATAAACCCAAGCACAGAGAGGTGTAGAACCCAACCTCTCTGTCACAGTAAGGGAGAGACCTGGATTCTAATCCAGCAAACCCTGCTCTGAGCTGCTACACGTTCTCTCCCTGCCGAACCCCATCTCCATGCAGGTAGAGTCCTGGGCCGCAGCCTCACACCATGGTGGCACCAATTCAGAATCTCTGTGTGGGACCCGGGGAGGAATGTTTTGGTAAAACTGGTCAGTTATTCTGTCAGGCACCAAAAATCGAACCACTCTCTCCAGGTGGGCTTCTCATGGTGTATTCTTTTGCTGTTTGATTCTGTACTCATTGTCTGTGTGGCCTTCCCTCTTCATTTTAAGTCCCATCACAAGTATTCGCCTGAAGTCTTCTTACCATTCAATTTAGCCCTTCTTGTTTGTTGAAGTACAAGTTGCTCACTCTAACCTATTATGCGCACGTTTGTATAAAAGCAAGTACTTGCTGTGTCTAATTTGATTTAACATATTTCTCAAGTGCCCACCTAGTGCTTCACACCGGTAGGAGTTAGAGTAGAACAGAAAAGCATGGAAGTATAGTTTCCTACATTGAGGCTGCGTGTCCCTTACGTTCTCTTGTGAATGAGTAGCACAGTAGTAAGTACAGATGTGCTCCAAGAACTTTGAGCCAAACCTGCACAGCATCTGACTTCTGGTGCTTCCTTCCGTGGGTGCTTACTAGTGGGTGCTGGAAGTACGATGGCAGTGGGCACTGTCCTTCCGGCAGAGCTGCAGGCGTGTACTGTACAGTGTGCTATGTGCTGGACTGGGCAAGGTGCCCGAGAAAAACATCTCGTGGAGAATTGCCCAAGGAATGATATGAACAGTAAGCTGGGGCCTGAACAATAATTAGCAGTTAACCAGGAAAATGGGGCAAGTGTTCAACAGAGGGATGGACAGTGTGACAGCTTGACAAAAGGAGCATTAGCAGGGCCATTTGGGGAACTGAGCTCAGCATGACTGGAGCCCGGAGGATGAACAGCAAGACAATGCAAGAGGATTTGGGACCAGATCACATGGGCATGTTAAGCCAGTGGGAAAGAATAGAAGGCTTTTAATACTGGATTTAAAAGCTTCTTTCCTAAAGTTCACTCTGGCCACACTGTGGAGAGTAGGTTGGTGAGGAGCTGCTGGCAATGTTGGGCAACCGAGCCTTAGGTTGTAGAACTTGGCCGAGAGGTGCTCGCAGTCTGAACTAGGTGAGTGGACACACTTGAAGGAGAACCAGAAGTAGTTGGACAGAACTCAGCCACTAACTGGATGTGTTAATTAAGAGAGAAAAGAAGTCACAAATCACGGCCTTGGGCTTTTGTCTGGACAGCAGTGTGAATAAGGACGGCCTTTGCCAGAGAATGAATCTAAGAGGAGAGACAGTTGATGAGCCAAACTGGAAGCTTGTCGGGTTTGAATTGTCTGTGGGACATGGTAGAAATGTGTGTGTTCTAGTGTGAGCTGAACAAGAGCAACTCAACCGGGAAATACAGTGTGAGGATTTGTCATCCAAGTAGGAACTGAAGCCACTGTAGTAGATATGGAGAAGATGGCCTTGGTGAGGTATGTAGAAAGAAGAGGCCCTGGTACAAAATGCTGAAAAACCTAACACTTTAACAGTGAACACAAGATGAGGAGAAGAAATGGAGGAAGAAAAGATGGCAGAGTGTGATATCCTGGAAATGAGGGAGAGAGCAACAGTTCCCAGACTGCCCGGATGTTGGGACAGATAAGGAAGTTGTTGGTGATCAGTGCAGGAGCAGTTTCCATGGACATGTGGGAGTCAGAGTCTGATTGTGGGAAGTTGGGCACCAGGTATTGGTGAGCAAGTAGAAAGAGTTAGTGCAAACCACGCTTTCCAGAAGTTTATCTGAAAGGGAGGTGAAAAAAGAAAGAATAGCTAAGATAACTGCAGATATTTGTGTGTGTGCTTTGTTTTTAAATAGCTTAAATGCTGATAAGGGGCCAGTGGAGGGGAATATTGGAAGATCATAAAGGGAGAAGATAAAATAGATGAGATTGAAACCTGAGTAATAGGGAGTTAATATTTAGCATTAAACAGAATATTACAGTACAATCCTTATTTTTCAAATAATGGTTCAATACAGCATTAGCAGAAAAGCAGAGTCAAAGAAATAGTTCTGGTGATTTAACTTCTCTCCTGTGTAACTAGAGTGATACCAACTCTCTAATATCCTTTGGGGAACGGAGAAAACAACAATTAAATCATTTTGGAAGGGCTTCATTCCCTGTGATCATGGCTAAGAAAGACTGACTAGAGTAATTGATACCCTCGGCTACATCACTGGGCAGAAACATAGCTTGGATTTCGTCAGCACTGCCCCTGGCACAGTCATGTCAGATTGGTCACAAATCCAGAAACATAAACACCAGCCATAGCTATCATGTATGCTTACTTTTTTTCCATTTTTTTTCTAGTGCTGTAATTTAAACTTTTCCGTGTTTGCTTTTCATATCTCTTACTCTTTCTGCCTTTCAATATCCATTAATTTATCTACCATCTTGCTGACATTCTCTAGTCTTCAACTTTATCATTTGCAGTGTATCTCTTATGGACTATTCTTCTGTACATGTCTTTGGATTAAGAACAAAGCAGCAATATACGAAGCCTTGAAAACTAAGAAAAAATATTTAGTACTGTTGAATTAATAAATGAGAGAACTTAACGGAACTACAGACTTTGAATTTTATTTCTTGTGAGCCTTTTAAAATTTTTAAAGGGTCCTTAGCTTTGTTCTTATGAATATAATCCACACCTTAAAAGACTGCATGATCTGTTTTCTTTTTAGGAGTTGTGGAATGTATGGCAGCTGGCACAATCATTCTTGCACACAATTCAGGGGGCCCGAAGCTTGACATCGTGGTACCTCACGAAGGAGAGATCACTGGATTTCTGGCTGAAAGTGAAGAAGGCTATGCTGAGACAATGGCTCATATTCTTTCCATGTCTTCAGAAAAGAGACTCCAAATCAGAAATAACGCTCGTGCATCTGTGAGCAGGTTCTCTGACCAAGAGTTTGAAGTAGCATTCTTGTCGTCAGTGGAGCAGTTACTTAAATAATGCTATGTGTGGGTATAAATTAAAGATATTTTATATAAAATGGTAAACTCCTTTAAATGTTAATATTTTTTCTAAACTCATTCCCTCTTGTAATAAAATCAGCCTAATCACTGTTCTCAACCATATGTGTTATAGGCAAGGTGTGGATTACAATGAAATGGCAGAATTATCTAGATGACAAAGTAATTAATTGCATGGTTTAAAGGTAAAAAAATTAGATTTTTTTTAACGTTTCAAATTTTGAAAAATAAAGAGCTGGAAAAATTAGCAATCTTAATTTTGGTATAATCCTTTTTTCTCAAATTCTAGTTGCCAAATCACCCCACTTTAGAAACCAGGAGATGGAAAGGAAATGGATAACTGATTAGTAGCTCAGATTATATTTCTGTAATAGAAGATTTCAAGTATATTTAAGTTCATAACAATATTGTAGGTGACCTTTTGGAATGTACCCATTGATTTTCTTAAAAGGAACTTTAAAACAGGCTTAATCATGACCTCAAATCATACAGTTAAAAGGCAGACAGATAACGATTGCTTGTGGGTGCATGTGTATATGTGGGTGTGTAGAGGGCAAGGTGCTGCCAGTGACCCTTTCCATAATGAGATATTTGTGAAAATGGGTTTTTGTGTGGGCTATCAGTATATTTGCATACATTTCAAATTATCCCTTAGTATATCATTGTCGAGAATGGAATTCAGCTTTAACTCATTCAGGAAGGGAAAATATCACAATAAATTGTTTTCCTGATAGTGATAATATAATTAATCAGACCCTCAGTGTGGTCTGTCTTAATAGCATCATGCCTTAATATGGAAAAGTGGTATTTTGGAAAGAGCACTGGATTAGCGATTAGAATATGTGGGCCTGACCCTCAGCTTAATTTTTTACAACTGACCTTTTGACATGCTGTTTCTTAATTTCTCAAGTCTCAGATTCTTCATCTGTAATCTGAAAATAGTAACACTTGTCATCACTGCCTTTCAGAGTTATGGTACTAATTTAGAAAGTATGTGAAACAATCTTGAAATTTCAAAAAGCTACTTAAAAAGCTTTTAAAGCTAACAATAATATGGTCAGTGTCTTCTTCAGTCCTGTTTTTATTAATGCATTACTATTCTATGTAGTTCTTGGTACTAAGCCAGTAGCTAGTAATCAACATGAATTTGACAAGACTTAAATCCTAAGTAACTGGTAATCATTGGAAAAGTGAGTATCTATATGTGCAAATAAGGCTTTAGAGCTTTACAGGTTTTGGCATTTTTTGCACACCTAATCATGCCCTTCTATTCAGTGATCTGACCTCCTTGACAGTCTGCTACATCTTCATATTAGGGCCATATCTAAGAGATATATTTTTCTGTTTTCAGTCTTTTCTCACCCATTCATCAACTCAGCCCGCTTTATTCTCTACTGCCAGTTCAACTTTTGACTCTACAGGCCCGCTTCTGTCATCTGCTCAAAAAGCAGCAAGACAGTGTCAGGATGCAAAGGAAAGAAAGACTGGTGGAAATGAGCTGAAAGGGAGTCTACCAATTCTCTTGTCTGGTTTTCTCTCAATTTTAATTTTATAATAGACAAGCTTTTTTTTTTTTTTTTTAAAGATTTATTTATTTGTACATACAGAACTGGGGTACAGGCCAGAAGCTCAGGGGCGGCGAGAGGCTTCACCAGAGACAGAGTGGGGAACAGAACAGGCAGATCGACGAAGTACACTGCTGAGGGGAGCAGCGGGCGGGTCAGGAGAGGTCTGCCACGCCATGTGGTCACCTCCAGGGCAGGCGGGAATCGAACTCATGCGGAAGCGGTTTTAGATTCTCAGTGCTGTGCTTTAACCCGCTGCGCCACCAGGGAGGGCCTAGACAAGCTTTTAATGGTAAGACAGTTCATAATGTGTTCATAACCTTTCTGATAGTGATAATATAAGTATACATATCCATCAGTGTGGTCTGAATTAACAGCAACTCAGTATTTTCACTAGTCTTTGAGGTAAGATTGGTACCTTTGCCCATTCATCCCACCAATATACCTAAGAAAGTCATAGGACTCAAGATAAATTGAAATGGACATAGCAAAAGTGGAGAATGCATAAAGGAAGAAAGGATTCTGGTATTACATATATTTTTGTACTTGTTCCTTTAAAAATGATTTTTTATCATAAACATGAGAAAATATAATTTATATATATGTAAGTTTTCAATGTTCCCAATGTGGTATTACAGGTTTGTTTCTGATACCATGAAAAGTGTCACAATAGTATGTCAGCTGCTGTCTGAGAACTTCCCATGACTATTCCTAAAAGAGAATTCCTTTTGTGGTCCAGGCATTCTGTTTTGAACCCACAACAGTGGATACTCACATTCTCATTTCTAGCAGTGAATAATAAAGTACATGTAACATATTCTTTGTATAGTAATGTATCTGTATCTAAGTATGTTAGCTATAATAGGTGTAAACACTATTTGTATCCAAATGATGTAAAGATTAAAGAATTTTTTTCATTATCTTGGATACTTTTTCTAACATGGTGCCTTTTATATCCCTTGTCTCCCAATTTTGAATTAGTTATTATCTTTACTAATATCTCCAAGCTATATGCCAGGATTTTTTTTTTAATGAAAGAGGAAAGCTTCTCTTCCCAACAAAATAGGTTATCAGCTTTAGTAAACTTTGTAATTAGTTCAGAATGAACACTGCAGAGCTTCATACATTAATAATTTTCAGGGTATTTTATGTCATAGACAAAATTACGGAATAGGAGACAGTTTGATTTTCAGAATATTTGTGTTTAATTATGTAAACATACTCTAGACCCCAGGCCTATTATATGAAAAAAGAAATGCTTTCTCAATGGACACAACAAAAATTAACTTCTGGGACATAACCACAAGTTACTAGACTCACATTATGTCCCTGTGATTATCTTATCGCCCCGTGGTAATCTTTAACTGTTTCCCTCTTTAGCCCATGTCTAACTTCACCCACAGCTTTGGAGAAGCATCAATTCCAGTTCTCTACTGCTGTGTGCTCCCGTGGACCACATGTAAATGCTGGCAGACACTTAGAAGGGAAATCAACGGTTACCCACTTGTTGGTACCTTTTAAAGGGTGACAGGTTGATAGCTGTGAGACAGTTACTAAGGTCATGAGTTTTTAATAAAATTTACGCTGAAAATACAAATCTGACCAATAATTTAATGGGTACAGCTAAGCCTAAAATTGGAATCGTCAGAACTGTGCATCAGGAGTGTGATTTAAGTGTGTAAAATGGATCAGTGATTCAGAAGCTAAAGCAAGTTGAAAAATCTTGGAGGGTATACTTACTGCAACAATACTTTTTTGTTGTTAAGATTTATTTTTATTTATGTGTAGAAGAGTTGGGTTGTAGGCCAGGGGTGTGGAAGGTGAGAGGATTCACCAGCAACAGAGTGGGGAGTAGAACAGGCGGATCTACCGAAATACACTGCTGAGGGGAGCAGCGGGCAGGCCAGGAGAGGTCAGCTCCCTGACTGGGGATCAAACATGGTGCAGTGGTTGCAGATACCTTCATAGTGCTTCATCTTAGCTCCTTGTGCGACCAGGAAGACCACAAAAGTACTTACTAATTTACAACAAAAGATTCAAAATCTTTTGAATTAGTTTGGAATTATTTTGGATTAGTACAAACCTAATATACTTATCCTTAAACAATAATTTAAATATATGTCTCCCTCCCTCCCCCACCCCCTCCAGCTTGGTCTTGGAGCTTCAGTATCCTCAGAAACCATGTTTCATTCCCATACTCTCTAGTTCTGTTCAAAAATAAGGATTCCATTGAAGACACCCGCAAACTGAATATTCTGAATCAAAGTCCTGAAAGTAAATCAGACGTGTGTACACTGATCCCCAAAAAGAACTGGAAAACTAATGATGCCTGGGTCCTTCAGGATTATGTGTCCCTTAGTCTGAAATTAATAAAATGGTGAAAAGTTTTTAACTATTTCCAGCATGTTACCCATACTAAGTGTTCTCCCTAAAAAGGATGTAACTCTGTACACCAAGTTCAAACTGTACCTCAAACATCACCAGGAAAATAAAGGCATCAAAGGCCCTCCCTGGTGGCGCAGCGGGTTAATGCACTGCATTGAGAAACTAAAGCCACTTCCGCACGAGTTTGATCCCCGCCTGCCCCGGAGGTGACCACATGGCGTGGCAGACCTCTCCTGACCCACCCGCTGCTCCCCTCGGCAGTGTACTTCGTTGATCTGCCTGTTCTGCTCCCCACTCTGTTCATGGTGAATCCTCTCACCCTCCCCATCTCTGGCCTGTACCCCAGTTCTGTATGAATAAATAAATAAATCTTTAAAAAAAAAATAAAGGCATTAAAATATGGATACATTCTCACAGTTAGGGGAATCCTGACACTGTTCTCTTAGTTCAGCAATATATCAATATACCTCTTTAATTTTACTTTGACTATAGAGTAGGTATTTCAGGCACTACTTATCCCACTAGGAAATACAACCTCTGGGCTCCCTGGTGGTTTAGTGGTTAAGTCTCAGTGCTATCACCACTACAGCATAAGTTCAACAGCTGTCCAGGTAGCATGATACAGCAACCCTTACCTGTCCTGCCTACTGCTCCCCTTAGCAGTGTATTTCACTAAATCTTTCCTGTTCTGCTCCCCACGCTGTCTGGTGAATCATCTCACCACCCACACCTCTAGCGTACATACCTATAGCCTATAACACAGTTCTTCTGTGCAAAGGTAAGAATTAAAACTATCTTTGTAGCAGCAGATGCAATAAATCAGTAAACATCTACTAAACTCCAGGAATATATTCAACACTGGTATTGTTACAATCATTACAAAAGAAAGTTGAGTCTAGTTTCCTGCCCCCAAAGAGCTCACTGTCTTAGTGAGGAATCTGTATTGGCATTTCTTTATTCATTCAAGAACTTTTCTGGCTCTGGTAATAAGCATGGTATATAAAAAGACATTACAATATTATGATAAAGGCCAGATATGCTCCCCTAGCCTTCAAAAAACCTGTAATCTCTACAGTTGAAATTATTAGAAAATAATTCAAAAAATAATAAAATGATTATTTAGTGCACAATTAATGTGACCTGACCTGTTCCTCTCCTTACTCAATTGCCTATGCCTGTGTCAACATAAGCTTCAAAAAAATGTACTCAGTAGAATTTAAGAAATTTCAAAAGGAGATTTTAAAAATAGATTCATTATTTTTTATGTCTTACAGTATTTATTGTAGCACTATTTTTTTAATAATATAATAGTTTATTTTTACATCATTTTGTGCCTTTTTCCAT